GGATTTGAACCGCCAGCCTTCTGATTAGCAGTCAAATGCCTTAGGCACTTCGCCACCAAAGCTCCCAAGGACAGGTATAGGAGTTTGTTTGGTTTTTTTTTTTTTTTTAAATGAGCTCTGGTGGCATAGTGCTAAGGCATAGTGGGATACAATTTAATCCATAACAACATCCCACTTCTGTCCCATTCTTCTGCCATTGGCCTTGTCTACCCAACTTTCCCCTGGTGCCAGAACTCTGTCACTTCCAATGAAGCCCCCACAGTGTGGTCAGATGACTTTGCATTTTCCACGTGTGTATTTTCTCTGAAGAACTGGTCCTGGCAGTACCTGCCCATCATTCCAGGCAAATTCTCAGTCACTCATCAGCATTCACTGAACACTTCCTTTGTGAGCCGTGACTTTGTCTGCTATACAGGGCACTGCATTTTCCTGGAAAATGGAATTTTGATAGATGGAATCCCTAAGCAGTTTTCCATTGTTTTTTTAGAGATCCCTTATTTTCTCTGTTGACTGTTCATGGAAGTGGCAGTATCCTGGGGATTGGTGGTCAAAATGACTCCTGCTGAAGCTTATTAGGTTGGACAAAGTCATTTTATATTAATAATAGGCCAAGATCAGAATAGAAAGAACACTGTTCAAGAGACCTGGTTTTAGTCCCAGCTGTGCCACTAGGTTACAGAGGCAAGTCATTTCACCCCTCTGGGCCTCAGTATCTGCTAACGTACAAAGAGGGTACCAAACTAGGTCAGGGATCCACGCACTTTTTCTGGAAAGGACCAGAAATATATATGGCTTTGAGGGCCATACAGTCTCTATCACAGCCACTCAACTCTGCCATGGTGGTGTAAAAGCCGACATAAACAATACTTATATGAATGGGCCTGGCTATATTACAATACAACTTTATTTACAAAAAAAAAAAGGAAACAAAAACAGGCAATGGCTAGATTTGGCCAGTGGGTAATAATTTACCAACTGCTGAACCAGATAAACTTTAAGGTCCTTCCAGCTCTGAAATACTGTATCTGACATGTTCATATTTCCATGTCACTCCCACAGACTCTGACAGCTTGCAATTATCAGACAAGTTTTCCTATGAGTGTAAAGGCATTGTTGCTGCTCTCCACTCAGTGTGTGTCCGTTGTCCCTGGGCCTTTAAGATCAGGACACTAATACTCATTGTAGAGCTGGTTGATTACCTAAGTGTCAGGCACCGTGCTGTGTATTTTCTCTCACTTTATCTTCCAAACAACCCTGCAAGGGAGATGTACCAGCCTCTGTGGTAGACGTAATGGTGAAGGTCCATATGAATTGCCATAGTGTGGATTCAAACTCATGATGACCCCATGTTTGTCAGACTAGAACTGTGCTCCATAGGTTTTCAATGGCTAGTTTTTTAGTACATTGCCAGGCCTTTCTTCCACAGTGCCTTTGGGTGAACTCGAACCTCGAGTGTTTCCGTTAGCAGTCAAACACCTTAACTCCCCCAAAGCCCAGACTTCCTCTCGATTCTAGACTGCTGATTTTTAGATACAAAACTCTTCTTTTCAATCATCTTAAGCTTTTTTGATTATTTGGGGGAAATATCTCACTTAGTGTGCTTTATATTTTGTTTTTTAACTTTCAAAAGTAATATATGCTTATAATAAAAATACAGAAAGATCAGAAGGTTATAAAATGACAAACAGAATTTTTCCTCTGTCCTCAACCTTTCACTTCCATTCTCCACTTCAGCCACTGTTCACTGTGAACATTTTCTCATGTATTGAAGCATAGCATTCCATTATGTGGATGGACTATTTACTTAACCAAATCCTTACTGGTGAACATTGAAGTTACTTCCAGTTTGAGTTTTTGTTTTGCTTTATCAAATAACATTGCAATAAATAATTCCTAAGCAGTGGGTTAATTAGGCCAATGGTACTATTAAATTGAGGCCCCCCCCCCCCCAAAAAAAAAACCAGTCGCAGTTCCCCTTTAGGGCAACTCCTTGGGCATCAAACTAAATTGTGTTCCATAGGGCTTTGGATGGCTGGTTTTTGGAAGTAGATTGCCAGGCCTTTCTTTGGAGGCCCCCTGGGTAGACTTGAAATTCCAGCCTTTCTGTTAGCGGCTGAGCATGTTAACCATTTATATCACCCAGGGACCCCCCAAAAAAAGCCTTTGCCAATTTGTAGAAGAAGGATTGTTTCCCAACATTCTTGATAATTTTGGGTAATTTGAAACTTTAAAATTGTGTTAGTCTGATAGAGGAAAATGGTGTCTTTTATCTGCATTCTTCAAGTTATGATTGGGGTTGAACAGCTTTTCATGGGTTTCTTTGCCAATATTTTTCTGATTTCCTGTTCCTGTCCTTTGCATATATTTATTGGACAGTTTACCTCACATCAACTCTTTGTATGTTGTATTGCAAATTTTTTTTTCTCCAATTGGTTTTTTTATTTTAAGGGATGCTGGTTTGTTTGCTTGTTTATTATCACACAATTTATAGTTATGACATAGATTTATTAGTCTTTTCCTTCTTGTTTTTTTTAATTGAGGTGAAATCACAAGGCATAAAATTAATCATTTAAAATCATCTTGAATGACTTAAATCATTAAATCATTTTCAAGTGACTTCACTGGCATTTAGTATATTCACAGTGTTATGCAGTCACCACCTCTATGTAGTTCCAAAACATTCTTATCACCTCAAAGGAAAACCTCATACCAGTTAAGCAGTCACTCTCCATTCCTCACCTTCCAGTCTCTGGAAACCACCAGTCTGCTTTCTATCTCTATGGATTTCTCTGTTCTGGACATTTCATATAAATGGGATCTTATAGTATGTGGCCTTCGGTGTCTGACTTCTCTCACTTAGCATATGCTTTCAAGCTTCATCTTTCTTAAGGCTTTTCTAATGGGCTACCTGCATCCAGTCACTTGGTATTTCCTCACTGTGCTTTCCACCTCCAATACTCACTATACCAGTGACTGGTGTAATTAAGTAAAGACCTTCTCTTTCTTGCAGAAGCAGATGAGAGCTGAGGAAGCAAAAACTGTTCAAGAAAAGGCTGCAAAGATCAAGGAATGGGTGACATTAAAGTTAGCAGAGGTGGGTCAAAAACTCACCTTGGGAGCCTGGAATCGGGCTGTGCCTGAGGTTACCATTATCCCTAGAGTTTTTCTGCCTATCTGTTCATAGTGCCTTGACTGACATTCACTTTGTTAATTTTTCTTTCCTTCAGCTCAAATGCTGGAACTTTTCTATCCTTCTGTCTTGGTTACGTTTCCCTTGTGCTCCTGGTTTTGTGCTACGTTTGAATTTAGGAAGAAGAATAAGTCTCATTTCTGAAAAGTCACTGTTAGTTTCCTTCTAAGGACGCACCCAGTCCTTAATGTTTGTTATCTTCCCTTTCTCCTCTGTCCTCATTCACTTTTTTAAATTTTTATTGTGATTTGAGTGAAAGTTTACAGAGCAAATTCACTTTCTATACAGCAGCTCACACTTTTTCTCATGACATTACAATTTCCCACAGTGCAACAGCTTCCCTCCCACTTCCTCCCCATAGTTATCCCTTCCCTGTGTCCTTCCCTCTCAGGCATTCCTGCCCCCCCGAGCTATCTCCCTGTGCATACACAGCCCTTATAGTCTCCCATGATTGATCTCTCCATGGAGTGTATCTACCTAATGTAAATGTTCAGTTCTTATGCCAGTCTTTTGTATGGCTGGCACCCAAAGGAGTAGGTTCAATTCTAGACCTGAAGAGCAGCTAGGGGCCATGGTGTCAGTGGTTCCATCAGGCTCTATCAAACCAGCGAATCTGGTCCCTTTTTTTCCTTTTAATGATTTTGAGTTTTGCTCCATATTGTTCTCCCACTCTATCCAGGATCTCCTACGTAGAGCCCCCTCTGAGTGGTTGAGAGTGGTAGCCGGGTACCATCTAGTTCTTCTGGTCTCAAAGTTGTATAGGCTGAGGATCGCATGGTGTACCAGTCGCTTGGACTAAGTGTTTCCATGTGTCTTTGGTTTTTTTCATTCTTCTTTGCTCTGGATGAGGAGCAACCCATCCTTACATCTAGATGGCCACTTGCAAGCTTTTCAGATTCCAGTGGGTACTCACCAAAGTAGGATGTGGAACAATGTTTTTGTATAGTATGTTACGCCAATTGAGCTTGATGTCCCCTGTGACTATGGTCCCGAGCCCACAGGTCCAACTGTTTGCTCCCTCTGAGTAGCTGGCTGTGGCCAAGAAGTGACTCAACTTTGTGCCTTGTCAGCTCTATGTCCTCATTCACTTTTGTAGTTCACCACTTTCTATAGCTTTATTTGGGAAACTCAGGACTAGAAGCTACGGTGATACTTGCAAACAAATGAGACTCTAACGAACCTTAGTTTAAAGAAAAGGAAAGAGAATTGGAGCTTAGAAATGGAAGACCACTAAGCTCTTCATTCTGTGTCCCCCTGAAATGAGTAGTTCACACCTGTGGGGGTGTTTGGCTCTTTTTGCCTCACCTTCCTGTCTCTGGACTCACACACATCTCAAGTCCCCTACTACACTGCTAGTTCTCTGGAGCAGAGCTTTTCCCACAGCCTTACCCATACTAGAAGGAGCTCAATAAAAATATGTTGGATTTAATTTAAAAAGTATTGCAGCATTGAGATAATTGTAACTAATGTCACTAAACAATCTGTGTAGAAATTGTTAAATGGGAACCTAACTTGCTGTGTAAACTTTAACCCAAAATTCAATAAAATATTTTTTGGGAAAAAAAAGATTACAGCCTTGAAAACCCTATGTGGTAGTTCTGCTCCGTCCTGTAGGTCCACTATGAGTTGGAATCAACTAGACAATGTGTTTAACAGCTATAAGATACAAAGTCCAATTGTTAGAATAATATAAGCATAAATTCTCCAGAACTCTTCCAATATCTTAAGAATGTAATAATAAAAAAAAGTAGTGCAGCAACAAAGATCAATCTCATAGATGTTATGTTGAGCTGAAGAAGACAGACACAGAGAAGTACATACTGTATAATTTTTTTGAATAAAGTTTACAAACAGGCACAACTAAACCATTGTGTATGAGGGTATATACTTAGATGGTCAACCCAGAAAGCAAGGAAGCAAGTATCATAAACTTAGAGCAGTGATCACCTTTAGGGAAGAGGGAGAAATGTGTTATTGGGAAGGAGCAAGTATGGGGGCATACCCAAACATAAAGAAAATGAAAATCCTCACAACTTGACCGATAAACAACATCATGATAAATGAAGAAATTGAAGCTGTGAATGATTTTGTTCTACTTGAATTAACAATCAAGAAATCAAATCGCATATTGGCATTGGTCAAATCTGCTGCAAAAGACCTCTTTAAAGTTTTAAAAAGCAAAGATGTCACTTTGATGACTAAGGTGCACTTGACCCAAGTCATGGTCTTTTACATCACCTTATATGCATGCAAAAGCTGGACAATGAAAAAGGAACACAAGAATTGATGCATTTAAATTGTGGTGTCAGATTAGAGAGATGCAAATCAAAACAACAATGAGATACCATCTTGCCCCAGCACTAGCAGCAAAGTTCAACAAGACAGAAAATAAAAAATGCTGGCGAGGATGTAGAGAGATTGGGACTCTTACAGACTGCTGGTGGGAC